CTATGCGAAAGAAACGGATTGATGCGTGATGACACGTATATCGAGATAGCGTATATAAGGCAAAAGTTGAAATTAAGCGGTTAAGAAATGAAAGAACGAACGAATGAATCAGCCTCGAATATAAAATGTAAAAAGGTAAAAGGGAAATTTCATCGATTTCGCACAACGTTTGATTAATCGACGATCCACGGAATAATTATACAAAAATAAGACGATATTTACACATAGGGAGTACAAATAACTGGGTAAACGGGTTGATTTCTCTCGTTATCGAGGGGGGAAACGAGACGGTGAGCAACAACGATCGACGCGTCTGTCGATCGAAAAACCGGCAGCGACGATCAAAGAGAACGCAGGACGATTGTAGAGGGGGGAAAAAAGGAAAAACAGAGTGTATGAAAAGTAAATTGGGCTGGGACGGATCGGCTGGACGCCTTGTTTGAATTGGCTGCGCGAAATTAGCGAGTTCGCTGGGCTACTGTGCAACGAGGTAAACGACGAAGAGAGCGGGAAAAAGAATAAACACGCGAAGAGAACAGGGCTCAGAGGAGATGGAAACGTTGCGAAAACGTGTTTCTGATGTCTTGAATGATTCAGAACTTCAAAGGGTAAAAAGGTACCATTGTTTTCCGACGGACTCAATTCCTTTCTCCCTTCTCTTCTCTCTTTTCCTTCTTTCCTTTTTTCTTTTATACAGAGTATTTAAAATTAATTGCGAACGCTATACTACTAATATGCGTCGTGATGATAATTTATTTGCTCCAAAATATCCAAAAATCACCTTATATACGGCGCACAAAAATCAAAAAAATCACCCGAGAGAGCCGGACAACTACTCTATCAAGGGCAACGAACCGCTCATAAATCTTTCCAACCCCTCTCACAAATCACCCTTTCCAAAAAAAAAAAAATCTCCCTCGTTCCCAAAAATACCATATTCCTCCGCTCTCCGGCCAATGATCGCCCCCGAAAACAGCCGCAACCCCGATATCCGGGAACGCAAAGGCAAAACGCGCGCATCACCGGTGGAAAAAAAAGGGGGGGAAAAAGGTGAAGAAGAATTTAATGGACGCGTGTACGCACGATCGTGACCGGGCATGATCGGGAAAGGGGCGATTCGTTATCCTGGTAACAGGTGCCCGGGACCGTGGTGGCGTAACAAAAACACGAGGGGCGGTTCGGCGCGCGAGAAAGGAAGCCCATTAGCGTTCGCGCGAAAGCGAAGTGGTCGTTCATTCATGAACTCGCCAGACATACCGTTGTACCCGCTATCGTACTACTACTACTACTACTACTACTACTACTATTACTACGGTTAAACCACGCCACGATACGGCCACGTCACCACCACTTTTACACCGCTCCGACGAGCGACCAACGCGTGTTCGTGTGCGGGTTCAACGTGTGTGTGCGCGTGTACCCGCAAAACCGTGCCCTGCACACCACCACCACCACCACCCGCTACTGCGATACTACCGCACAACCCGGCGTTCCTCGCGTTCTTACTCGAGTTTCCAATGCGTTCCTCTCCCCGACCCCTTGTCATTCTGCCCACCCTTGACAATGAAAATCGCTCCTGTTTCGATTCACCACCTATGAATTAATATTACTACGATGCAATTTTCCGATCAAATCGGATTACTCGGGATAGAGATGATCCGGAGTAGATATGGATTAGGAAGGGCGAGGGGGAGGGAGGGTCATGAGAACGTCTTCTCTAACGATTCTCTTATCGATCGATATTTGGAAAAGATATGAGGCTGGTTATCTTAAGATGCTTCTTTCTTTCGTTATTATTGGTTATTCATAATATATTTGTTGTATACATTGCAATCGCTCGTATACGATTCGTGGGAAGTAAAAAAAAATTTGAAATATCTTTTATGCGTCTATGTGCGTTACGGTTTATGGTCATTTTATAGCGTGTGGTACGCCGTGAATAAACTTGTTATTGGGAATAAAAATCGTCCCGATATTTTCTTTTTTTTTTTTTTTTTTTACGAAGAATTCGAAAAACCATCCTAGTCTACTAGAAGCACGCTAGAACCGGAATCTCTGAATTATTGATCGACCGTATCCGCCGAACGGGATCCAGTAAAATATTCCATAAAATGGAAATGTATTCGTCTCTTAATCTTCCATCAGGGAAAAATCATCATTAAAACTTTTCCACCTGGAATTTAAACCTTACTCCATACTGTTCTTACCCCTCGATTTTTCACATCTCTTTTCTTGCGAACTTATTTGAGAAAATATTGGATTAAAATGAATCCCAGTTACTCGATCATTCAAAACTTTGTATCGCGGAAATAAGAATTAGAATATTTATCGCGGGTAACTGAGCTTCAGGAGTTAAAAATACATGGAAATTTACACGAAGTGGTTCGGATTAAAGCGATAAAGATTTCAATGGTCAGTCGTCAATGTTGATAGCGCATATTTTTACGAGCCGAAAAAAAAGTGAAATTTAAACGAAAGATCAATTCCTTAAATAACGAATATTTATACATTTAATGCATGTTTGCATATTCTGCACATACATTCTGTATATTTTTAGGAATTTAAATTTCTGATAAATGCAATTGCAAGCACATGTAATTTCCCTATCAATAATAAACGAGCGATTCTCTCTTGCATAAAAATTTTGCCAACAATATCTGTTAATTTATAATTTATAAAAAATTTGCTCGTACTACGAACTATAACATACTGTAAATAAGTATTGTTTGTTTTACACTCATTAAATTTTTATTGTTATACAATTCCTGACTTGTTAAATTTCGTTAACGATACTTTCTAAAATCTAATACATTAATCGCTAATATATTTATGTCCACCGCGTCCACACTGTTCACATTCACTGTCCTCCATAAAATTCAATTTGTTCTTTTCGAATCGGCAAAAATTCCATTTTCTCCATTCAATTTTAATACTCTTTTACGTGGAAGAAAATTGGATATTTTCGTATAATAGAGACCCGACTTGACTTCCGCCCGCGCGAGGATTATTGCAAAATTCCCGCGAAAATGTTAAATATCTTTTCGCCGGAAGCACGTTCGCGGTCGGGTCTCGAATTGAAAAGAAGTCGATTCTTGAAGCGTGAGCGTGATTTCATCGTTTTTTCATCCCCTTTCGACGACAGCCTCGAACGATTACCACGTAGTGCGAATTTTCGCGCGAGAGACAGTTCTCTTGAAAACAGTTCGGTTGACCTATTTCCTTCCTTCGTTCCAAATGACAGATTGGAATCAAACTTTTCTCGCTGAAATTCTCGCCAAAAAATAGTGGGCCGCTGATGATGTTCACAGCGGACGAAGATCGATGATACGCTCCAAGATTTTCCTATCGAAATCGTACTATCCTCCGTGACACCGATTGTATTTTATTTTATCGCGAGGGAACAAAGAAGTTATAGAAGAGGAATATCCATCCATTAACTTTTACACGACTTGGAAATAACGTAAGACGAGGGTGAAAAGAACATTTGGATCCTCGGTATCGACGCCTTGACCCTGAAGAGACACCGAACTTCATAACTTGTCCAACAACTTCCCCAAAAGTTTTCTCTCGTAAGAGCATAAAAAGTGACAAAAGTGCGCATAAATAGGATGAACTTGTACTTTTCGCGTTGAAATTGTGTTTTATGATCTCGTATAACAAGTTTAAAGTTAAATGAAACATACGTTGAATACGTTTCTTATGACTCGTGGTTATGTGAATTTACGAGAAAGGATTGTTAAAATGATTCACCTACAATTTTCATTTACGCGATATTGGCGTTGTATGTAATTAATAAATGAGAAAGACGAGCAAAAAGATCGCGAAAAATTCAAACAAACGTGTTCTCAAACGTAACATGTGAGAGAACACGTGACTAACACGTACACCAATTACAACTTTCATAATTCCATGATTCTCACTTTATTCTATTGAAAAATCGAGGAGATCAGAAAAAGAAAAGATCGATTCGAATAATAAAATCTTCGATTTGAGAAAATTATGGACAAAGTTACGAACAAAATATTTCACAAAAATGTATCACTTGTACTTATATTTCCACTCTTCCTCCAATAACTTTTTTGCACAAAGATTTTTCCCAAGAGAAGTCGCATTAACAATTCTGCACCGAAATCAAACACGAATCTAACGATCCAACGATTCACGTACGGAAGTAGATCACGTAAACCAATTGTTCCGACCAATTGTTCGTTATTCCAAGCCGAAACGCGCATCTTCGCTCGCTCTCAGCCGCTCGATGAATCAGTTTGGTCATCGAGCAAACCCGTACTCGTATCGAAACGAACAATGGAGCATCGGCGAAATTCAGTCGAAGACTGGCCCTAACAACCGCTTCGTTAAACGCGAGCCATCTCGCACGCAAGCCCGGGGTTCTCGAGGACACGTGGTGATTCTCCGCGTTCCACCAAAAACTACCCCAAAACTTCGTCAATCCACCATTCACTCGTACACAATTCCATGACTCGAAATGAAACGATCGAAACCCGACAAAACACTCGACGACAATCAAACCTTTCTCTCGTTCTTTTTTTCCCCCATATAAATAAATATTCAAAATTGGATATTCGGCGATATTCGATGATTCGATCCAAGGATGGAATCATCATCGAACGGATGAAACGGATTAACCTCTTCGATACGATCATCGATTAAATACATCTCGCACCTTACGATCATTCGTACGAATTCCTCTTCGTTTTATTCGATCGATTTATAACCGCGTTGAACACACTTTTCTTACGCATATAACGCATATAACCAGTATCATATCTTTGTCAATAGACACGTGTTGCACGAAAGTTACGTCTCACGCGTATATACATATGCATCTTAATCTCGGTCTCGCTAACTGTTATAAAATGCACGAGTCTGCACAGAGCACAATTTTTACCGAACGTCGTAAGATTCGAAGAGGAATTAATGGACGATCGAACGAGCGAGGGGAGAAACGTTGTCAGAAGGAAAATATTTTTTTCTCTCACCCCCCACAAGCAGCCAGGCCTCGCAGCTTCCGCTGGAGCTCCGACCGTAAACACACGTCGGTGGTTGATCGCGCACTGAAGTTTCCACCGCGGATCCGGCATCCGACTAGGAGGGATCGGCGAACGCCGACCAAACCCCTCCTCCCCCACACTCTCCGTCACTCGCCCCCCCACCAAATGTCCCGCTCGACGCCCGGCGTCGACGGGCAACCCCCCTTTTTAACCTCCCACTCGAAACCGTCACCCGCCGTCACTGCACGCCCCCACCACCCTCCGCCATCCAACCACCCTGTCGGCATCACACCTAGCAGCTAGAAACCGGCCGGACGGGATGAAGTAGTTTCTTTTTATCTCGAGAGGAAAGAGAGCGAGGAGAGTGCCGATCGTGCCTAAACCTACACTTTCAACCGCTGGTGGCGAAATCTGTTGTCTCTTTCGCGAGTTTTTTTTTTGGAGGGGGGGGGGGGTTGATCGGGGAAAAATTGGAAATTTGCTTAGGCTTTGAAAAATATTCGAAATGAAAAAGGTGTATTTTCAACGCGAGAGAGGTGTGAAATGAAGATTTCGTTCGTAGGGATCGATGAAATTTTGGAATTTTGAAATTATAAGGTTGTAATTATAATCGTTAATATAGTTTGTAGGGATGAAACAGATTCTTCGTGAATCGAGAGAAAACCGAGGAAAGGATGAAGATCGTACCGTGAAGAAGGAAGGAGTTGTGATGAAATTTTATTGGATTTTATTAGATTTTGTTTTGAAAAATTTTACAGATGTGCAAGAGAAGTTACGAGGATTGTTTCGGAAAATTTTCAAGATATGGCAATGAAGTGAATTCATATTCATATCTCGAGAGGAAATGAATGAAATGGATGAAAGAGTGTCGATCTTTGTGATGAAATTTGTATTGTGAAAATTGGAAAAAATTTGGATGTAGATTTCATTTTAGGGATTGATCGGAGAAAATTTGATCAGTATATTTTGAATTATGGAAAATTTTAAAAATGCGAAAGAAAAAAAGGATAGGAAATATGAAGGAAAAGAATTCTTTTTCTTATGTGGATAAGAAACGAGTGTTAATCGTTCCTTTAATATGGTAAAGTTGTGTTTTAAAATTAATTGAAAATTTTCAATTAAAATTAAGAAAAAATAAACTATCTAATAAATAAGATATTCAGAAAATTCATCCCTTTTCTGCATAAAATTCCATGTTTCCAATATGTTCTCGCATGTTTTTATTCGATCACGTTAAGCTTATTCACAAATCCAATATAGAGATTTTTCGTTCGACCAACTTCCTCGCAATCTCGAACAACAATCGAATATGATATAAAGAAGATAAGCAAATAACAAGATTACAAAATTATTCCAAAAAAAAATTCGAACCCAAATACTTTTAATTCAACAAAAATAAAATATATTTCATTATCAAGGATGCAATAATTCGCGGATCACCAAAATTTTGTATCGGAAATTTTTCCAAAAACGATTTTTCCATAGGAAAAGAATCATATTTCTTCGGAAAAAACGACGTCGATTGCAAATTTTCCAGAATTTCAAATCAGCAAAAGTTTTTATCAATAGTTTCTTATTTCTGCGACTTGTTAAAAATTCATTCTTTTGCTTTCTCACCGGCAATCGGATAAAACTATCCGTTTACATAAACCTTACCCACTCGATGTATACACAATGAGCCATTTGAATAAATTTCCTACGATACTTTTAAAGAAATGGAGGAAAATATTAAATGTTTTGCGATAATAAAAGTTTTCACCTTTTGGTGTATTTTCGAAATGTATTTGAGAAAAATCGATATAACGTATGAAGAGAATTTTAAATTTGTAACTACTATTGGCTTATAATAAGAGATGAATTCGAAAGTTATAAGAATAAGTTAATATGTTATTTTCGTTGAAAAGAAAATACGATAGACAAGATATATAGAATCACGCAATTATTTATCCACTTGTAGGAGAGAAAATTTTCTAAAAAAAAATAATTTTTATTCAATATCTAAACAATTCAATATTCAATATTCAAAATAAATATTCCAAGTTACATCCTTCGTAACGAAAGAATTGCTATGTAAAAATATATTCAGAATGAGTAATCTTAAACATCCTGCTCCATTTTAATTAGAAGAAACACCAAAAACACCGGATCTGTCCACGTTCGAAGAACAGATACAAGTGGAAATGCACGTGGATAGAGCATAACTAATTATCTCGCATTCTGACGGCGTAGAGGATTTTAACACAACCGCCTAAGAGGTTGCCACGCGGAGGAGGGTTAACCATGGCGGTTGGCCGCGAGATCACCGCCAACCTCCTGGCTTCCGAAGCTCTCGCCGCGAGTTTAACCGGCCTCCACGGTACTCACTGAATCTGGAGCGATTAATAGAGCCGCGTGTATGCACAAGCATGGACGAAATATAATCCTTGGTTACAGTACGCTCGCGAATAAATAATAAAGTGTGAATCACGCTCGTGATCTGAAAACGAGAGATCGGATTAGCGGAATCGATGGTAAACGTCATAATCCTTCGAATATGTGATTTTAATTGGCGAATATCATGTGTGACGAGACGGATATTCTTTTTTTTCTCTTAATTTTTTTCCTTCTTTTTTTTTTTTTTTGTTCGAAGGGAAACGTTCCATAAATTTGTAATGATGGATTTATTTAAATTAATTCGTCATTAATATTATTAATTATAAATAATTGAATGCGTATGAAGAATATAGTAATAAAAAATAAATAATAACGTTAAAAATAGGGACGAATAAATTAGATATTTGTTATATATATTTCAATTGTATTATGATTACATAATGATGCAATTAGCAATTAAACTATATCAAATAATAATGATTTCCACAAAATTGTGGCAAATTGGGAACCTATTCTAACCATATTCTCATCCACTTTATATTAACGTATTAAAATTCGTTAAAATTCAATAAATCTTCCTTTTAATGTTTGTTTGCATATTCGTTTGATGACGAAATTTTATATCATTTCATAACTCTAATTCAAAGTATAATTAATCATTAACAATTAATTGTAATAAAAGAAAACGTGATTTGCCCAGTATGAATTATTACTATTACTACTATTGAAACGAGCATAATGACAAAGTAATAATAAAAATGACTTCCCATTCTTTGGATCTAAGAAAAAGAAAATTCAAAAGATGAGAAATCATTGGTAGTTGCCTTCTTTCATGATAATTTGCCGAGCCTTTTCTCTCATTGGGCGCAATGCCCGCTAAAATTTAAACCTTATCCGAGAGTTCCTAATTGCGAATCGCGAAAAAGAAAAAAGAGAAAAAGATTAAATCACGGAAATTAAGTATCATGGATCACATGCATAATCTCGAGCACAACGTTTCGTTTCGAGATTTATTTCGCGATCACGAAATTCGAAAAATTAATGAACAAAATTAGAATCGAGTCAGAGCCAATGATAATTCGTCTTAGCTTCACTCTTGATTTTTCAAATTATAATTCTCCTGAAACAGATTGTTACGCACCTATCCAATTGTGATAACCTGATCCTATTTATACAATTAACAAGCACATCAAAAAGTATATTATCTATCCTACCTAACCCTATATTTAAAAAAGATACACATTCGTTCTACTATTCTGACACAAACTCGACGGCAAAAAGTCTACACTAGGGAAATTTCCGAGCTTGGCATATTGTTTTCACACTCTAACTTTATGTGCCATTTTCTTGAAATCGATTGACAATGGTTAGCGATCATTGCATAAATTATGATGAATCATATATCAACTTTTAAATAAAAACATGACCAAAATAATCTATACATATTTTTTAAAGAGAGAAATTATATTTTGCTACCATTATTATAATTTGATAGATTATTATAATCTGTTATATCAAATAACGGATGTAATATTGTTATAATAAATTGTAATTGAATTAATAATATTAAATGAAGTAACAATCGAAGCGATGCAATTCCACAGTCTAATCACACATAAGCGCACATACGCGCACACACACAGTGGAAAATACATTGTGCATGATACACAAATGCATCATCAATGCATCGCTGAATAAATTGTTATAAACTTATGAATTTATCAGTCCTCGCTTCTTTCTCAAATAACATCTGAATATATAAATGAGATCATATGAATGAAATCAAGATTAGACACGGAAAGATTAAACTTGAAAATCCTGAGCTAAAAAGAATATTAGTTTATCTATTTTTTATCAAACGAATTAATATTTTTTGATTTAATATCTATTTTATTTCAAACTTGACAATTAATAAATAATTGACTCTAAATAAAATAATTAAACTCAAGTAATCTCTATATTTTCGAAATGCAATAATAATCAAAATTTATTGTTTATTGTTTTTGAAATTCAGCTATTACAAAATGTCTGCTTGCATATTAAATTTTATAAATTTCATAGATCTATCTATCTAATTAAATCTAATCTAATTTTCATATTTCAAATCATACTTAAATTTATAATAAAAAATTAAATAATTAAATTGTTAAATATATTACAATAAAAAAGAAAGTTAATGTACACTATCATTATTATATAATAATTGAAATTTTTGTTGTAACGAAAAATATTCGAATCTTTCATTAAAATATATTTGATTAAAGTTTTTTAATATATTTTATTTATTTTTACATTTATACTTTATATATATTTATTTATAAATGTATATTCCTATGATTATTTGATTATTTGATAATATTGATTAATTATTTGATGATTTTTAATAATATTCATATATTGAATGTATTTTGATTTTAGAAATAATTGCAACGAACATATATTCAATTACAGATGTTCAAACTAATTATCAATATTATATCAATTATACTAATTATTATTAATAAATATTAATAAAATAAAATTTTATTAAAATAAAACAATATCTAAATTCAAAATTCACATTTTGAACTAAATTGAGATAACTCTAATAATCAAACAGATGATCAATGCAAAAAAAAAAATTCAAAAGATTATATAATTTTGTTACAATAATGTATATAAATAGTTACGTATACACATATGCTAACTAAATAATAATTGATAAAA